CACCTGTACTAAAGTATAATATTTTAAAATATTTGCATTTTTGTGTATTTTGGGTCACTTTAGGAAAATTCATCAAATTCCAGGCTACATGAATGACGTTTAGGATGTTTTTACTGCTGTCAAATGTCAAAACGGGTCAAATTAGACCTGAAACAATCTGTAAGGGTTAAAGCTAACATTTACTTACTTCATCAAAATGTACCAAGAATCTTCACCAAAAGCTGAAGTTCATACCAGGCCAAGTAAGGTCGATGCTGCATAGACTGATTTGAGAAACTGAGCGTTTTATTGCCTATGAATTTAGTATCTGCAGACAAATTTTATTTCCCCTGTTGAGCATTTCAGCGCTCGCTGCGTCACGACCAGCATTTGGTGAAAAAAAGATTTTTGTCTTTTCTCTCCCAGCGATGCTTGCCACCCTCTTGTAGCTCCATCAAAACATTCCTCAGCCTTCAAGGAGAGAAACAGCAGAGTTTATTTAGGTCACGCTGTATGAGAATCTTCTTTATAGACAAGATAAATAACCGTGAGTGACAGGAGCAGAGGTGTCATTTCAGAAGTGAGCAGCGTGAGACGTTTTACCAGAATTGCAGATTAGAACGATGCCGTCACCGTAGACTTTACATCAAGATGCGCGAAGGAAAGCGGAGTTATACTTCCTCTAAAGTGTGCGATTCTTTGTAACTGTAAGGTTCAGCACCAGCAGCCAGAGCCACTGTAAATCCTCTCAGCTCTCTAAATAAAAGCAGTGGCTCTGGCCCAGAGTGTAGTTTATGAAAATAAACTGCTCCATAATAGATAATTCTGTACAGGCCCCCTCTTGTGCTCACTGCCAGGCACAGCTGTTGTAGTTGTAGCTCCTTGACAGGACAAACAATTTCTGTGTATGCTTATAAATAAGTCATAAAGAACATCCAGCAAGTGTTTGCTCTCTATTCATTAGTGGAATCGTACTATCTGCTCAGAGCTGCTATGAGTCTCTGCAGGTCCAACACTGTGCAGATTGGAAACTGTCTATACACTCCAGTAGTCTCCAGTTTAATGGGTTTAACCAGTTAGCCTTTAAAAAAGCTTGTGCGCCCTTTGCTGAACAGTAGCAACTCCGGCTTTGAGCGACAAAACAAGCAATGATTGTTCCATCATAACTTAGCGACTGTGTCTGGGTGTGCATGTGTTACTTGTCGCTTTTTTTTTTAGATTACTATATATTACTTGGGGCTGCAAGGTGGCGCAGTTGGTAGCACTGTTGCCTCGCAGCAAGAAGGTTGCCGGTTTGCGTCCCGGTGGGGGCACCAGAATCTTTCTGCGTGGAGTTTGCATGTTCTCCCCGTGCAGCGTGGGTTCTCTCTGGGTTCTCCGGCTTCCTCCCACACAGTCCAAAAACATGTTGAGGTTAATTGGAGATTCTAAATTGTCCGTAGGTGTGAATGTGAGTGTGCTTGGTTGTCTGTCTCTAAGTGTGGCCCTGTGATAGACTGGTGACCTGTCCAGGGTGTCCCCTGCCTTCGCCCTAAGTCAGCTGGGATAGACTCCAGCCCCCCCGCGACCCTCATGAGGATTAAGCGGTGTATAGATAATGGATGGATGGATGGATATATTACTTGCAGTAAACTGTCCTAGAGTATGCAGTATATTAGATAACAGCTGGTATTGCCTAATGTCATATACACTTAGTTGCCACTTTACTTCTAAATCATCTCACTCTACACAACAGTTTATTGCAAACTGTTCTCACACCAAACTTATAGTTTCATCCACTGCAGTAACATGAAAGTACATCATAAACAAATTAGACGTCACATGTCCTTCATCTTTCAGTGTAATACAGTGTTTTTATTTGCACAATGAAGTATTTTGATTGTCAGAACAGAGCATTATTAATCGCTTTAACTAGTATTTGTTAATGTACTGAAAAATAGTTCAAATGTTGCGATAGATACATGTTAAGAATTGTCTTTCTGTTCAGCATAAATGCAAATCTTGATGTCGTTAAGTTGTTTTTTATGTCACATTAAAGTACACAAAATACCACATAGCTATGTTAAAGAATACATTTTTGACTTCAGTTAGAAAATAAAAGCACACAACATGTGTTTAGTTATTTCAACCCAGACAAAGTGTACTGGATCAGCTTTATTATTCTTATTACAATGAACAGAAATCAAAATGTGTAGACTTACAATTTAAAAAGAACTATGCTCAGCTAATGTGAGATGTGTGTTAATGTTAAAATGTTTTCCTCGTGGATAAATTAGTCTTTACAGTGCAGGAGTGCTTATTTAAAATCATAAAGTGTATCTCTAATGCAAGTGGGGCCATAATTTACAAAATGTACATCATATTGTTTTGAAAAGACTTGAAAGCAGCAATTGAAACCATAAATTCATTAGGAAGATGATCACTGAAGTAACAAATCACAAAACAAGTCGTATCATTTTCTCATGGACTGCTGCAATCTCACGCCTCTCTCCAACCAGAGGAGTCGTCCCCTGCTGGCTGTTAGAACGAATGCAGGTTTAAGGCATCTTTTCAGACCCAAAGGCTGGAACAAATGAAATCTAATACAACCCTCCTGCAGTAAATCATCCCTTCCTGAAAGTTAGAACATGTGATCACATGAGAGAATTTAGTCTGTGGTGCTGTCCTCGTGTCATGGCGACTGGTGTTTTGATTATTTTGTCCACTGCATTTATATCAGTGAAGCAAGGCCAGCGGCAGCCTTCGGGGCTTCGCCTTCGCTTCCTCTTTAGTATGGAAAATCCAGCCCCTGCGAGGTGTTGATTCCTTAGGTTTGTTGCTACATATGAAACCCTGGCTGTCTGGCTCAATCAGTGTTTTAGCGACTGTCATTTGGTTCCGAGGCAGAAGTGCCACCTAATGATGTGTCTACTAGCATATTAAAAAACACCTTTAGGACACGTTAAAGGCTACATACTGGATTTGCATCGGGTACGGGTTTCCCAAACTGACCTAGAAATCTCAGTTGTACAGTTGTGTTATTTTGTCTTTAAAGGTCAGCGTTAGCTAACTTAACAGAAATTTGAGACGTTAGGCTTCTGAATAAAAACAAAAAAGTTACTTTTTTTGATTCTGGATAATCTCAGTCTATGTTTACTGGTGTAACAGTTCCTGATTTGAGGATGTTGCGGTAATACATGACACACTCTGAAAGAAGTTGGATTACTTGGTCGATGATTTGCAATGGCGTATGTAGCCACTAAAAAAATACTGACTTTATTTTCATTGGAATCCATTCAATTTATGGCTCCCACTTGTTTCAGTGATACAGACTATAATGAAAAACATTTCTTTTCTAAATGGGACTCCACAAAAACAGGGCTGGCCCCTGGCTAACTGGCTTTATTCTTCTGCTTTGTCAGACTGATGAAATTGCAATTGCTCTGCTGGTCTCTCTTCAGAAGTCACCATGAGGCAATATGAGCGAAATGTTTTCCAGTCACAGTGGGGTCAAAAGCTCTCTGTGTTATGAGACGCTGCGGAGGATCTTCTCTGTTGGTAATGGTGGGCAGTTTTAAAGGCTGGATTAGAGTGCACTTGGCCCTTTTGTAATAGTCCTACGACTTCTGTATGGAACTGTTGCTCCATAATGTGATTTACTAAGTCACACTGTGCTAAGCTTGCAGATGCAGGAAGGGTTCACATATCGATCTGGAAAAAAAATAAAATAAAAGAAAGTCTTTTCTTTAATTACAGAGAGACGGAAATTTCTGCACTCCGTCTGTTTGAAGATGTTGCGCCGTGTCTGGAGTGTAAAGCAGAATTATTTCATTTTCTTTGAAAGTCAAAATAAGCATTAGTTTAATGTGACTGTTCGTGTAACCTTTCTTTAAACCCTTTTTGTACTTTAACAGAAAACAAAAAAGGGCCCATATGAAAGAAGATATGAAGCTGCAAAAGAATGAATACAGTCAGCACTGTAACTCTCCTCAGAATTACTTTTTATTTTCTATGAATTGAAAGGCATATGTTAAGCATAATACTTGTTTTTTTTTCTTTCTTTCTGCCCAGACAGTGATTCTCTCTTATTTTTAAACTTCCATTTCTTAATTTGAACATCACTTTCTATGATTATTAGTAATGTGAAAAGATGTCGGTCATGACAATGAACCTTCACAGTATTATCAACCAGCTCCAGTGCAATTTCACTCAACTTTTAGCCTTTTAACTGATTGTTTTGGTTTTTAATCATAGTAAAAATTCAAAATTGTGAATGCTATCTTGTATTATTTTGTCATTTCAATGTTTGTACATTTTAAAACTGCATTTACTTTTTTTTTATAGCAACTAGTGGGCAACACAACAAGCTGTAAACAAACATTTGTCATACATTTCCGATCTAAAGTTGATGCGCCACATGTTTTAGCAAACAATACAAGTCGTTTGAATTCACATTTCCTGCTATGTGATGAACTTCGATGTATGTTTGCACTCGTCCAGTGGGTCTATCAGGTAACAAATATTAAAGTTGTAGCCCGAAAAACCCAAACATTTAGCTTTAAATGACTAAAAAGCTACATAGACCAGAGGATAACTGCAGATTTGGCTGATGATTCCATGTGGGTTTGTCACCTGAGTGACCCCCCTCAGAATGCACACTGTCATTTGATGCATTCTTAATGTAGAAATATTGATTAGTGCAGCTTTAACTTGTGCCAGAACTTCACCTAGAGAACCCCACTTAGAGAGTTCAACTTTTTTTTTCCCCAAACTGATGCACTAATTTGTGGCCCCTCGCAGCAGGTCGCCCGCCGGTACATTAGGTCAAATTTAAGTCAGCTTTTCCAAAGCAGATAAATAAATAAATGCGACAAAGTGGCGGTTGGTGGGTGAGCATTCCCTCTAATGGCACTGCAGCACTTTGCGGGCGTGCGTGAGTGTGGCTTAATCACTTGTAAGACTTGACTGAGTGTGTGTTAATAAACATTAGGCTGTCTCTCTTCCCCTAGTGATTAGTGGTTTATGTGCTCGGCTCTCTGCAGGCTGAAGACGCAGTCCTGAAGATTGATGGAGGGCCATGCTATTCAAACAGCAGGCATTGCTGAGACAAAAGCTCTTCGTTCTGGGCAGCCTTGCTATCGGAAGTGTCCTCTATCTTGTGGCCAGGGTTGGGACTTTGGATAGGTAAGTCATCACTCCAAGACATGCATGACTTTCATTTCAAGTAGCTGAAATCACGATCTTGCATAAAGTAGCACTTTTAAATTGACAGTCCATGACTGTATAATCTAAGTAATTTTCCACTTTATGAAACTTTTTAAATGTGCTCCTTCACACATGTGTAACTAGGCAATATGTGTTTACAGATTTGGCAGCCAGAGGTTACAAGATATTTTTTGCCATAAACTGACATATACCCTGGAGCCTAAGTTGTGCAGTTTCTGTTGACTGAAGCAGAAGTTTACTGTACATAAACAAAAAATAAATTAATCTTCCTAAGAGACTGAACTCAATGCAAAATTTCCCCATGGGAGCAGCAAGAACAGCAGTTTGTTTGAAAAGAGCAGAAAAAAAGCAACACTTTCAGATATTTTCCACACAAAAACATACTTTTTGCATGAGCAATTAACCATGCAAAAACAGTAATCCACATAACCAATTAATCCGGGACCTCTAATGCTCCCTAATTAAAATGTTTTTTTGCTTTTGCATTCCTAAAATGTCCAACTTACTAAACCTTTATGTTTCTGGGTAAATCTTGGGCTTTGCTTGAAGTCTCCATTATAACCTCCATTATATATCATCCTGTGCTGTTTTCTTTGAGTGTTTGGATTCTGAAGGTTACATTTTTTCCATTTAAACTGTCCTCAAAAAATTTGCAATTCTTTGATTGAGTGGAACAAAACAAATAGTTCTGATAAGAAATCAATCATAGCATGTGCTGCATTGTATGGATGAAAAGTGCTGCTGTGTAACGTAACACTTGTCAGAGATGATGGAAAAGAATATTGAATCAATGAGGCTCAGGAATCTATTTACTGCTCACTAGAGTGGACTGCAGAGTGTCTGTTATATAAGGAGTAGTAAATGAATCAGAGAGAGATTTCACCTTGGTTGGCGCTTATCTTTCTCTAGCAAAAAACACCCTCAGTGAGACTATATGGCTCACTTCACATGCACTACAACACAATTTCTAATGTTAAAACAAGTGCTAAACACATGGTCCTTAAATAATTTGAACATATTTCTATGACAATCAAAAACTTGCAAGATTCACTGTCATTTATCTTTTCTTTAGCTTTGCAGAAATTTGCCTTATCTTATCTTTTTGTTTCTGATTTTGGCCAAATTTAAGGTATAAAATAAGTGTTAGGTGAACATTTCTTCATAAAATGTAGGCTTGTGTGGTGTTAGACCAATAAACCACACCATTATTATCAGCCACAGAAAGAGTGAATAACAAGTTTTCTCATTACAACTACACAAGGAATGCTAACTGAGCATGTGCCAGAAAACTAAACTCAGCGCTTGCTTCATGCTCTCACTATGCTTCTATCATATTCCACATCCTCTTTCTTGTATTTCATAAGCGACTGCATTTAGTGTTTTGTCTTTTTGATGCTTTAAATTTGATGAATGAAGCACGTCTTCCATTTGCTATCAGGAAGTCGCCAATTGAGTTTAAGTCTGCAGCTGCGGATGTGGAAACCATGAATCGACCTATAGTGAGCAGTCGATGTGTGTGGTGTTGGGGGAACAGAGTGTGTTTAAAGAGCTGGGCGACTTTCATAAGAGCCTGATCATTATATAGACGACCGGATCAGAGCATCTCTGAGATGGGATGATCGTGGGGACCTCCCAAGTAGCACTGGAGAGTTCCTACTAAAATCAGTACAAAGAGGGACAAACCCTAAACCGGTGACAAGGTGTTGGAGGACGTGCTGGAACAAGTCTGATCTGCAGCAGCTCCAACTCTTAACTTACGGGACTTAAAGGATCTGCTGCTAACGTCTTGAAGCCAGATATCACAACTTCATAGTCGATGTCTCTGTGGGTCAGAGGTGTTTTGGCAGCACACGAAAGACTAGCAGCCTATTCGACAGGGTGGTCATAATATTTTGGCTCATCAGTGTAGAGATGGAAAGAACTGACGTGTGTTTTGTACATGGACTTTATTGGCCATTAAGGGTCAACACCCCAACTACAGTCATGTGTTTTCACTCAGCACCTTCTGACCATCCCTTCAAAAGGTTGCTCATTAAAAAAGAAGACTTGTTTCTCTGCAAGTGTTGAGACTAAAGATGTTGGTTTTCTTTTTCTCTGTCTTTCAGGCTACAGCCCATTTGCCCCATTGAGAGCAGACTGCCCCCTCCAGAACCAGAGCAAATCCCTCTCCGCACCCTGCAGTTTAAGCGTGGCCTGCTCCATGAACTACGTAAGGGCAATGCCACCAAAGAGCAAATCCGCCTGCACAACCTGGTCCAGCAGCTGCCTCGGGCCATCATCATCGGGGTGCGCAAAGGGGGCACCCGCGCCCTGCTGGAAATGCTCAACCTGCATCCCGCAGTGGTCAAGGCCTCACAGGAGATCCACTTCTTCGACAACGACCAAAATTACGCCCGCGGCATCGACTGGTACAGGGGAAAGATGCCCTTCTCCTTCCCTCATCAGATCACCATTGAGAAGAGCCCTGCCTACTTCATCACAGAGGAGGTCCCTGAACGCATCTTCAAGATGAACTCTTCCATCAAGCTGCTGATCATCGTCCGAGAGCCCACCACCAGAGCTGTGTCCGACTACACCCAAGTGCTGGAGGGCAAGGAGCGCAAAAACAAGACCTACCACAAGTTTGAGAAGCTGGCCATCGACACCAGCACCTGCGAGGTGAACACAAAGTACAAGGCCGTCCGGACCAGCATCTACACCAAACACCTGGAGCGTTGGCTCAAGTATTTTCCTGTGGAGCAGTTCCACATCGTGGATGGGGATCGGCTCATTACGGACCCGCTGCCGGAGCTGCAGCTCGTCGAGCGCTTCCTCAACCTCCCGTCTAGGATCAGCCAGTATAACCTGTACTTCAATGCCACCAGGGGATTTTACTGTCTGCGATTTAACATTGTCTTCAACAAGTGCCTGGCAGGCAGCAAGGGCCGAATCCACCCAGAAGTGGACCCGTCAGTAGTGACTAAACTGCAGAAGTTCTTTCACCCCTTCAATCAGAAGTTTTACCAGATCACTGGTAGGACATTCAACTGGCCATGATGAGTTTAAACTCCTCCAATGAGATTCTTTGGATTGGTGTTTTTTTTTTTTTTTAATTTAAAAAAAAATAAATGCCAAGTTACAAGATCTAAAACGATATTAATAGCACTTTGATTGAATTTAATACAAGAATGACAGTGTGACCAAATATAAAAGGAACTTGATGTAAGTTTGTTTTTACGTGTGTGAAAATACAAAATAGTTTGATGGTTTGACTAAAAGATTCAGTTCAAAGCACTTGATCTCGCAAATTAATTCATCTGTCTGTCAATGTTTTCCCCGTGAAGAAAAAAAAAACTGAGCTGTGTGATTAACTAAAGAGATTATTTTTAAAAGACTATCAAACACTGACATTCATGCTGTTAAGATAAGCTTTAAGTGTGCTGCTTTTATTCATGATAAAACACCTTCAAAGGCGACAAAATGACATCTGATAAACAACAAAAATGTTCATTTGTTCCCCATCATGTTGTTTACTTGACCAAAATTGCATGTGCAATCCAGATGCCATTACAACATAGTAGACTCTTGTGTTAGTTATCTTCTGTTTGTTCATAGTCTTTTATTTAATACCCGCTGTGATCAGTCCATTAGAAGGTGGCCTCCTTTAATTCTCAACACAGCACCCAGTCTGACGAACAGACAAGGCTTATCAGAATAGATCTAGTGTTTCAAGCTTGACTGTCACCATGTCCCAAACCTTTAAAGCATTTAAAACTTGAGCTTGTGTTTTTTAATGTAACTATGCTGTTTCTTTCCCCTACAGCTGTCTCATTGGTTTGCCAAACACCCAGCAAAAAAGCCATAGTGGGAAAAAAAAAAAAGAAAAAAAAAAAGAAAGTCGTCCTCTGATGATTCCTGTCAAACCAATTGTTTATTCTATGATGATTAGCAAAATTTGTCTGTTTCTGTGCAAATATTCATTCTGTATCATAAGTGTGTTGTTAAAAAAAGTTGAATTAAAAGAACATGTAAACATTTGTCGGACCTCTTATTGTGTGTTGCCGTTTCACCGTCGCTATTGAAAGGGAGATTTTCAGAAAATGACACACTGTAAAAAAAGAAATAACCTTGAAGATTTGGCAACTGGGGTGTCAGATAAATGTGGCAAAAAATGGCAGAATACTGTCCTGTTCCAAAACTGTAGATATGGGGGAAATAATGGCAAACATCTGTAAAGTAATGATAGTTTAAGCTGTTTTAATAGAGTAAAACAGCGTAGTTTTACAGTCGCACCTTGTAAAACAACAAATGACTATTTGTAATTTTATTTCTAGCTAACTTTTTGATCTGGCAGCCTCTTTCATTGGAACAACTAGAAACTAATTTTATTTCCATTGTGGTCTAAAGACCCTGATTCCAAACCTAGCTTAGCATTAAGACTGAAAGCAAGGGGAGATGACTTTCCCGGCTCTGTCAAGGTCAAACATATTCCTTTTAGCACCGTAAAGTTCAATAAATAGACATGCCTGTACACATGCCTATACTGCCAGAGAATGACACAATGCAGTCAGAACACATCTGGATGAAATCAAGTCAATATTCAAATGTAGTTTTTTGATTATTACCCAATAGGTGAACTTGCTTCTGTATTTGCTTGGAATCATTTGTAAATTGATAGAGATTACAAAAACAAAATACAACATGATTTTTTTTTTGGTTAACAAAACGTTTTTTCGTGAATCTTGTAAAGTTAATTCAGTTATTTTGCTTAAATGCTGACCCACCTTAAACTGAAATGATGCAGAACTAAATTCTCCTTCATTTTTTTGCTCATTTTCAGCCTCCATCTTGCAGATTGACCCAGAGTGAAAATCTGTTTTGAAGACTGACTTGTGCCTACAATATTTCTGTTTAATCGAATTATCACATAATTGCTGACACGCATCAGTCCTGAGACACAGTAAGAGTTCAGAGCAGAAGTAGTGTCTAAATATTCTGTCATTTGTAGTCTGCAGTGCACACTTTACCTGAAGGGTATTTGAAAGCAACACTGCACAGACATGAAGGAGAGCTGTGTCAGTGGGGGTTTAAACCTTATTTCTGCCTTACTGCAACCTCACACGTTCAAGGCCATTTCCATGAGCAAAACTCCACCTGCTTTCTTTTGGTGGCGACCTCTGACCTCTTAGAAATTCCCTGAATGAAAAGTGGGTGAAAGTGTTCCTTGCACACGAGGTAAGTCGTATAACCACCAGCTACGAGGTTACACGTCGACTGAATGTGACATTCAATCATAGTGGCCATCTGGTGTTTTTCTGTTTCACTTGTTGCAGGCAGAACAAAATGTAACAAAGATGATGCTGACATCTAGTGTTTTGTCAGAGCAGTAAAGGAATGCAACGGATTCATGTCTTCTGTTCTAAGTAGTAGGATGATAGAGATTTGTAAAAAA